CAGCACCCAGGGCTGCCTCCTGGGCTTACTCGGCCGCAAGAAAGCTGGGGGCTGCGCTGGTGCTCCCCCTGCTCTGCCCTCAGCCCGGGCCCTGCCCTGCCCTGCCCTGCTCCGGCACGGCTGCTGTTCCTCGCCAGCTCCTTTGGGGACCAGCCCTCGCCCGCTCACAGAAGCCAGGGTGGCCCCCGAAGCTGGGGGGCTTCCACATCAGCACTCGCCCTGCCTGGTGCTGCTCTCAGCTGCGTCAGAGCATTGGAACTGCCAGGGACCCCATGGCATCATGCCGGGATGTGACTCAGCCTGTTGTACATGTCACTGAGTGCCTTTAAAACACGATTCTGTGACTAGCCTATACACTGCGTGAAGTCCAGCAAAATCCACAATCATTTTCAGCCTGGGAACAGCATTACAAGCGTTTTTCCTTCCTTTTTTTTAACGTTCTGATGGTGTTGTGTCTGGTGAGGTTATTAACATGCCCGGGATTTTTGTCTCCCCTGTTTTTTCTCAGGGGGGTCCCCTGTAAATATGTACAGCGGCCGCGTGGCCCCAGCGACATCTCCTCTGCATTCACATGTGCTGACTTGTACAATGATCTTTTCAAAGGTACTTGGATAAAATGAAATAAAACCCCATGTCCCACTGCCTGCTGCTTTCTTCCTTCCCCTGGGAGCAGATGCCCAAGCCCCTGGCAGCCGGCTGGGGTGGGTGGAGGATGGGGCAGGTGGGGCAAAAGGCTTGGGCACATGGTGGGGCTGGGGCTGCCATGGGCTCCCTGGAGGGGTGACAGGGCAGGTCCCACCCCAGGGGACTACAGTGTTGCCCCTGAAGGAAGTGCCCAGGGTCTGGGAGCAGCAGGCCCAGGGGAGAAGGGATGCTGCCAGGGTTTGGAGGGGAGGCTGGGGCATCCCAGAGGCTGCGAGCCAGGCTTAAGGGGCGCACATGGAGCCCCACGTCGGGCTTTTCTTGCCTTCCCTGGCTGTGACAGCAGCTCCTGGGGCTGGTATGTGATGGTGGTGCCCATGCCTGGGGTGGGGAGGCTGCCTGTGGGCTACAACAGAGACCCTGGCTGCTTTTCCCCATCACTGGCAGCACAGCCCAAGGGCCAGTGTGGAGGGCACTGGGCTCCCCTCGGGGCCATGTTCTCTGAGACCTTGGCCGCCCCATGGCACCTCCGAGCTGGCAGGATGAGCACTGGCACACACAGGGCTGTGCTGGCTCACCACCCCCTCCATAGGGGTCCCAGGCCAAGCTGCCCTGCAGTTGTTGGGGCTCTGCCCTGTGGCAGTGGTGACTCAGCCCATCACTGGCCCTGCTCTGTCCCCAAGACACGGGGGTGCTCCCCTAGACGTGCTGTGGAGCCGCAGACACAGACCAGAGCCCACATGGTTTCCAGGTTGTTTATAGCGCAGCCAAGCAGGAAGGAGCTCACAGCTCATCCCGGGACTCGGCCATCCCAAGTGGACTTGGCTCCTCCATGCCCGTGCTGTTCTTGAGGGGCTTGGGCACCTGGAGAAGGCAGCAGTGAGGCAGGGACGGGCACACCACCCTGCCTGTCCCCATCCCACAGGATCTGTCCACCTGCCCAGCAGAGGCTGGAGGCTGCCCTGGGGTGGGTGGGGGTCCCTGGCCCTCAGGTGGGGACACCTCGCTCACCTCAGGCAGCGTCCCCCCATTTTCCAGGAACTTGGAGAAGGTCTCCACGTCTCTGGTGCTCTTGTATTCAACCATCTGGAGCCATGGGATGGAAGGGAGACAAGGGGTGATCCCATCCCCCAGGTGCTGGCAGAGCCGGGGTGGCCCCATGAGTGCCCCCACCTACCTTCCTGCCCGGCCCCGCAGGGAAGTAATGCAGGGTGGGGAAGCCATGGATGGTGATGTTCTCCATCTCGTTGGCTGTGGCATCCAACTCAGCAATGACGATGTCCTCGTGGTCCTTGTAGCGCTCACCCAGCTCCTCCCAGGCGGCAGCCATCTCCTGGCAGTGGGAGCACCACGGCGCGTCTGTGGGGCGGGCACAGGGCTGGGGAACGAGCCAGGGCACCAGAGCTCCGCCGGGGTCAGGGTGTGGCATCCCCCGGGCCAGGGGTTGGTGATGGGGCTGGGGGCTGTCACAGTGGGGGGTTAAGCCCCATGGCAGAGCTTGGGGAAGGCTGCAGGCAGCCCTGGCACTTACAGAACTTGACAAAGACGTTCTTGGTCTCATCGAATGCCACCTGCTCAAAGGTCTTCCCCACCAGGACTTTAACAGGCCGCGTGTCCCAGTCCTCCGGGGGCTCTGCACTCATCAGGTGGGGCTGTGGGGACAGTTGGGATGGCCACAGCCCGGGCTGAGCAGCGCCAGGGCCCCGTGGGCACAGTGCAGGCCTGTGCTGCCTTTTGGACCACCTCTTCCCCTCTGCCACCATCCCAGCTCTGTGTGTCTCCACACAACATTTTCCTGCCTCCTTTCCCATAACAACGCCCCCTGCCCCAGATCTTCAGGCCAGGCAGTACAGGTATTGGCAAGCAGGTGGCTTGTGTTCATCAGACAGCTGCCATCATTAGGCTTCAGAGTTAACAGCCCACTGCTCACCATAAGGAAACATCCTTAGTGCTGGCTGGCACAGCGCTGTGTCCCTCACCTTCACCTTGCCGTCCAGCACCGCCTGGACAAAGGTGCGTATAGCCATGTACGAGAAGGCGTCCTGCTCCATCCGGTACTTGCGGTTGTTCTCCATCTTGATTAGGCGCAGGGTGGGGGCGTCGGCAGGCGTCAGACCAAAGAAAGGCAGGACAGGAGCGCCATACCCAGTCACGTCCACCACCACAAAGAGCACCTAGGCAGAGGATGGGTGACACTGAAGCTAGAGTGTCTTGTGGCCGCCTCTCCTGCCCCCGCCATGTCCCTACCATGGGACGGCCTCACCTTGCCCCGAAAGGTGCTGGCAGCTGCCCGGAAGCCATCCTGCAGCCCCAGCTGTGCTGATGATGACTTGTTGAGGAAGAGCAGCATGTGGTGGGGGATCTTAGCACTGAAGATCTGGTCGGAGGTCTGAGGAGGAGGAGGAAGAGGGTGAGGACAGGGGTGCCATGGCCCTCATGGGGAGAGGGAGAGGGATAGGGATAGGGACAGAGACAGGGATGGGGACGGGCTGTACCTCATTGGTGAACTCCATCACCAGCTCCAGGCTGTGGACGCGGAGCAGCTGGGTGAGCTCAGCCACATCCAGCCCCCGCTCCAGGTCCACGGGGAAGTCTGTCCGTCCCTCATCGAACTGCAAAAGCAGGGGTTGGTGAGGGCTGGGGTGGGGGCAGGATGGCCCCACCACCCCCCTGCTGCCCCCTCACC